AATGCAATCAAAATTGACCAATCATCAGTCAAAAAAAAAAAAATTTGTTTGAAGTTTTCCTACCAGCTCCCACCCCAGCTTCTGCCTGACCTGGGACAGAGGTGCAGGGTCTGTGCAGGGTTGATGTGATTTTGTAACCTGGGACCCTACTGAAAGGGTATCATGGGTGAGAGCTAGAACAATGTCCTTCCCCATGCACGGAATCTCATCACTTCAACTGAAGGAAATCCACATGAATACCAATGAAATGCTCACCCCCATTGCTGTCAGGCCATTAGGGATTTGCCCTCACCAGTGCATGGAGAGCAGGGTGCTGGAGGATGAGTGCGACGGCATCATCGTGCTTTTATGCCCGTGTGATCCTATGGGAGTAGCGTCAGGGTGCATGGCGGATGTTGTGGCCCTGAGCAGTGATGAAGTACTCCTTGTACTCCTGATTTCTTCCTTCTGCTGCCCTCTTACCCCAGGACAGCCTCAGGCCCTGCAGCACTGCACCTTCCTAGAGCAGAACCTGCTTTATGAGTACCTCAGCCCATGGCACCGTGACATGGATGTCCCAAAGCTAGTATAAATTGAGACTGGCATCTCAGCTGGGCTTGACCTGCAGTGCTGTGACACCTTTGGAGGTGTCTCTGTCACAAAATAACGTTGATTTGTGAAGTGATTCTGAGCCATGAACTTGTAACGCACAGCAGCAGGTTTACCAGCTGAAGCACAGTTTTGCGGCCGGAGTCCAGTCCAAGAAAATAAAAAAGTCAAACTAGTCACTCAAAAGGCAGATCCCTAATTTAACTTGTTTTCTAATCAAGCGATTCAAACCAAATTAAAAAAAAAAAAGTAGTTACAAGTTGGCATCACCCATGTAATCAATGAATTTTGCTAAGACCTCAGAAACAAGGATCATGAAAGAATGAACCAAGCACTTCAAGTCGAATCCAAGCTTTCACAACCCTGGAAGTCCTGTCGGGGCTTTTGCACAGCCACACTTTGCTGTCCTTCCCCGAAGCCTGCTGCTCGTCCAGGTAAGTGCGTGCAAAAGACGATGCCCAAGCTGAGCAGAGAGAGTTGTGAGGAAGGAGGGACACAGAGAGGACAGGAGCAAAGCAAGAGCAAGGCACAGACTCACGGGCTTTTCCTGATTGACTGGGAGCGCTCGTGTGCCAGATGCTCTGTACCGCTGGAAACGCACATTGCTGATCTCTCAGCTCAGAGGGAAGAGCAGGATTTCAGAGCAGGAGAGCATGAAGTCTGTCCCCGTTACTACAGGGAAGCTGAAAGCCCATTACACGCAGCACAATGCCAGCCACGCGCTTTCTAGGCAGTCACAGCTGTATTACAGCAGCACAGGGAAAGCTTTCTGGGGCCAGCAGTTAGGGTATCTGAGTACAAGAGACATTTAAATCATCGATGCCCAGGGTGACTGGCCCCATTGTCACACAGTAAAGTATGATATACAGTCCCCTTGTCCCTCACCTGACAGCGCAATCTCTGCTAAAACCTACATTTTAAGATGCTTCACATTCAGATCTGCCATTCTTGCGGATAAAACAGAAGCATCTTTGAAGCACTGATTAACTTGAAAGCCATACTCAACAATTGCACAGCAAGACCATCTTCTTCTTTAATGTATCTCAGTGCAGAAAATGAAAATGTGGGTAATAAAAACAAGTCACTCACGACGCAGCCATACTTATAGGAAGTGAAATACAACCATTTGTGCCCAATGTCCTGCCATCTGGGCCAAGCCTATTGATAAACCTTCCCTGACAGGATGAAATACTGCTCCTGTAAAGGCATCCTTAACATAATATGCCTCTACAGCATTGGGCTGGACTAGGTTTGAAAAAAACATCCTTTTATAATACACAGATGAATTCAGCACTTAAGAAGATTAATGGATTCATAAATAGCCTGGAAATCCAAACTCATTGAATTTTGTTCACGGAACAGGTCAAATAGGCATTTATCAAACCATCTGGCATCTTTCTTCCCTGGGGAAAAAACAGTGGCTGAGCTACAGATAGCTGAGGAGCCATCGCAACAGGGAGGGTTTGGTTTTCCCTGTACTCAGCTTTCCCCTAGAAATCTGTGGTGCTAACTAGAAAGCAGTAGATCTTTTTGGATAGAGCGCTGCAGACCAAAGCAGGCTGCCCCAAGGCATGTGTCTTGAAGCCACTGGAGATGCCACCTTTTTGCTGGCAAAAGGTGCAGGCATCAAAGCAGCGTCCCTGTTTCACACAGCAGCGGCTCCGGTGGTTCAGGAGCACACAGTCATTTTGCATGTGAGCTGATGTTGGCTTTCTCCGGAGCTATTTACCCTACGGTCTGTGGGACCATCGTGGGGTTGTTCACAGACATGCTGGGGTGCCAGTGCTGCTTGAGGCCGAGGCCATCAACTCTCGCTCATGGCCTGGACGGTGTGAACAGACCCAACCCAAGGCACCTTTGCTGAAACGTTGAGCCCTTTTTGAAAAAGTGTATCTATTCCCTCAGACTATCACAGATGTTAAGAGGGCACAGGAGCTGCTAAGAAAAGGTCTTTGTCATAAATTTGTACGTTACCCACCATTTTTTCAGCTGCTCTATGCCCAAAGTCCATCTTCAGCTGGCCTGTCCTTTGCATATGTTTTTGGCTACGCACCGGTGTGTGGCTGGGGGAAGGGGCAGAGGCAAGGACAGCTACTCTCAGTTGGTTTTAGCCAACGTGTTGCCCATACTGAACCACCACATTAGCAAAGTGTGAGCCAGGGCGGCCCCCTCTCTTCCACCGTGGCTCCAGCACCCGCAGGGACCAAGCCGGGGCAGGGGTAGAGTTCAGGTTTGTGTTGAATTGCTCATGAAAAGGCAGGGGTTGGGGAAAAAAAAAGTTCAGGAAAATGTTTGAAAGATTTTTTTTAATTCATTTCCATTTTTATTCCTGTTTCATGACATTTTATCAGTAATAAAGCATTGTATATGTTGTATCGTTTCATATTAACATGTATATCATAGTATGATAAGCCATGTATAATGATTTAATATTGTTAAAATATCACAGAAGGGTATTTCTATATAGTCACTTATTTTTTAAAGTGTTGCTACTTAACATAAATGTAAGCATGGTCAAGTTCTAAGTTAAAGTGTCTATTCTTTATGCTGCAATAAATAGCTTGCCATTTGCTCTAGACCATAAAAAGGACATTCATGTGCACCCATTTGAGTAGCTTACAAAAAAAACCCACCAGAGTAATTCAAGGATCTCAAAAAAAATACGGGTTTTGAGCAGTTAATTTATTTTTGTGAGCAAAATATCAAATTATTTTATTAACATGCTCTGATACATAAAATATGATAATTCTTTCTGGTCATATTAGCAGCTTTTATGGAAGATTTCAAAGATAAAACATCTAAGATGCCATATAAAAGAAAATGACGGCATAGTTGGTTACTACAGCATGACATGCTATGTGGTACACATTAGTGGTAGAAATACAAAATATTTAGTAGGGCCTGGTTGCATTTGTCATCACCATGTTTTGCCCCTCCTGTCATGCCATGAAATAATCTACAAATAAGAACAATATATTCATTGAAACAATATATTCATTGAAAAATAAAAACACTTTGAAACAACATTAATAAGTGTCATGGTTTCAGCTGGGAGAGAGTTAATTTTCTTCCTAGTAGCTGGTATTGTGCTGTGGTTTGGATTTAGGATGAGAATAATGGTGCTAACACACTGATGTTTTGGTTCTTGCTAACCAGTGCTTACACCAGTCAAGGACTTTCCAGCTTCCCATGCTCTGCCGGGTGCACAAGAAGGTGGGAGGGGGCACAGCCAGGACAGCTGACTCAGACTGGCCAAAGGGCTATTCCATACCATCATGCTCAGTATATAAACTAAACTGGAGGAGTTGGCTGGGGGCAACAATCACTGCTCCAGGATGGGCTGGGCGTCAGTCGGCAGGTGGTGAGCGGCTGCATCACTTGTTTTTCATGGGTTTCGTTCCTCTCTTTTTTGTTGTTGTTGTTTCCCTTTTCTGTACAATTTATTATTATTATCATCATTATTATTATTCTATTTTATTTCAATTACTAAACTGTTCTTATGTCAACCCACGAGTTTTCTTACTTTTTCCCTTCCAATTCTCTGCCCCATCCCACCGAGGTGAGGGGAAGGGTGAGCGAGCGGCTGTGGGGTGCTTAGTTGCCAGCTGGGGTTAAACCACAACAATAAGTAAGCTTTTAAGCTTAAATAGCTTTGCCTCAGAGAAGAAAGGTTTGACAAACATGGGTTGGTCTGGTTCTCCTGCGCCTGTGCCAGGATAGCAGAGAGAGAAAGGATCAAAATCCTGTCTGTAGCCATGGCCAAAACACTGTGCCTATCCCAGCCCCACCTGGGGCAGGCTCCCTCCCCAGATACTGCTCTCCTGTTCACGGGGGCTAGTGCTGCATCCCTGGATGTTGCCCAGGATAGCCCTGCTCCCCCTGCACACGCTGGTGGAAATCAGGAGTAGCTTGCCAGCCTTCAGCAGCACCCACCGTGGGTGTGGGTGTCTGTCAGGATATGAAGAGAGGATCCAGTTTTGCTGCCTCATCTTGCTCTCGTAAAGCAAATGGTTGGGTCAACTGGAGTTGGCGCAATGGAATAAACAGCACCACACCGCCATCCGTACAGACCCCTCTTCCCTTCGCTCCCAGCAGGGGACATTGCACAGCTCTGAGTGAAACTCAACCTTACTGCTATTCTTTCATTGCTCATCTTCCACACAGCTCTGCAACTGTCCAGGAGGCTCTCAGACCCCACAGGGCAGGTTTCTCACCCAGAGTGGGACCCGGCCTTGAACCAGATCCCACCAGCTCCTGGGGATATCCGGAGCCAAATCCAACCAACCTGCCCAGGAGAGTCTGGAGCCAGATATGTATCTGAGGTCCATCATGATACAAACTTCTCCCTAATGACTAGGTAGGTACAGGGACTAAACGCTTAAGCAGGACCCATGCTCCAGGCAGCCCTTGGACTATATGATATGCAAAATAACCACTGTAAAAAGTGCTAGGAGGTAAAAAGAGGAGGCAGCTTCAATACTGTCTTCCCCCACCCCAGAAGAAACCCCATCAGTCAGCCCATCCAGCTGTGTGGTGTTACTGAAGACTTCAGTGGTGTTTGCCACCTCTTCGGGAAGGCCCATCTGGAGCAAGAGTTTAGAGATAAGGCTGTTGAACTTGCTCTCTGTGGTAGACCAAGGCTCTTCACTTGGGGTCAGGCCTTCGGATGTGACATTTAGCTCCACTGGGTCAAGACAGAAACCTTCTGGTGATCTCTCATAGAGCACGTCCATCAGGTCAATCCCAGCTACTGAGGAGGGGGAGGCACAGGGAATATCCCTGACAAGCCTGTAATTCTCCATCCACTCCTTCAGCCACTCGATGCGGCAGTCACACTCCCAGGGGTTGCGGAAGAGGTACAGCCGCCCCAGGAAGTACACCGGCTGGAAGACAGAAAAGGGCAGGGTCGTCAGGTTGTTGCTGTTCAAGTGCAACGCAACCAGGCTGGTGAGGTTTTCAAAAGCCCCTTCCTCAATGTAGTTGATCCTGTTGCGGTCCAGGTAGAGGACCTCCAGCTCCCCCAGGTCCCTGAACCAGGTGTTGGAAACGTTCCTGAGGAAATTCCCTCCCAGGTTGAGCATCTTCAGGCACCTCAGGCCATCGAAGGAGTTTTCTGGAAGCTCACTGATCAAATTGTCGTTCAGGTACAGGTACTCCATCTTCTGGCAGCCCTGAAAAGCTCGCTCGTGAACGACATTTATCCTGTTGTCCTGCAGATTCAGGTATTTCAGCTTGGTCAGGCCCTGCAGGGAGTTATAGGCTACTGCTTCAATCCTGTTTCTTTCCAGGTAAACATGGGTCAGGTTCTCCATGCCCCTGATGGCACCTGGGATCCTCCGGAAGTTGTTCTGGAAGCAGAAGAGCTCCCGCAGAGCAGGCAGCTCGATGAAGATCCTGTCCGGGATGTTGAAAAGGTTGCAGTCCGCCAGGTCCAGCTTGACCAGCCGTCTGAGGGCAGTGAAAGTCCGCGTGTGGAGATAGCGAATGTACTCATTGTGGGCCATCTTCAGCTCGGTCAAGCTGGGCAGCCCCTTGAAAGCCCCCGGGGTGATGAAGGAGATATTGTTGTGGTTGAGCGACAGGGATTTGAGGGAAGGCAAGGTCCCGAAGGCCCTCTCTGAGAGGAACTTGATGCTGTTTTTGTCCAGGTTGATAGAGGAGGCTTCGCAAGGGAACTCGCTAGGGATCTGCCCCAGACCGGCACGATCGCAGAGGACAGAGCAGCTCCGCTCTTGGGTGCACACGCAGTTGGCAGGGCAGGACCGCACACAGGCCCACACCGCGTGGGCGTGCGGGACCCAAAGGATCACTGTCAGAGAGGAACACGTCGTCCCCACGGAGGCGTGGGAGGAGAGAATCGGGATGCATAGTTAGCAAATATATTAGTCACAACAGGAAAAAGACATTATGCTGTCTTTGCCTCCCTTCTAGCCAGGCTAATTGCCACGCACTCCTTGTATGCCAGTGCTGACCGAGAAACACTCGTGAAAGATTCCTCAAAACCTTCTCCTGGGGTTTTTAAACCCTCTGAGAAGGGGTGTGTACATATATATATATATATAACACGTCATCTAGAACATCATCTCTGATTAATTTCTCACCCCAAGAGAAGGACTCTCTTAGACTTAAGTATTTCTCGGTGTCTCTGTGATTGGTCCCTCTGCAAGCTTACGGGGACATGGTTTGGCCGGGGGGGCAGGCAGAGATGCTTTGAAGGCCAGCAGCTGTGGATGGGTTGCAGTATTTCTGGGTGAGGGAGAGCTGGGGGCAGTGTATGGTAGTCTGGCAATGGGCAGGGGAGATCAGTTAGTTGCCTGGGGTACGTCAGATTCATGCTTTTTGCTTCTTTCTTTTCTTTGTTCTTTCAACCTAACGTTTCTCCACCAGAGCCATGAGCTGGTGCAGCACTGCAAAGGGAACTATCAGCTGCTAAGGATGCAGTACAGTGTTTAAAAACACATTCCCATTGTGTTTTGGTAGAACAGCATGAGGAAAAACAAAAATTAAGGGATATTGTTCAACTGCTTTCTTCATGATCTCATCATAGATGAGATACTCTGCACCTCTTGCTCAGGTTTTACTGTTTTGCCAATTCTCAAGACAGTCACCATAGTGCCTTATGCTTGATGGGAGCGGCAGCTTTGTCCTTTTATCAGCCTGCCATGGGAGATGTGAGGCTATTATGGTTTCTTTTCAAGTTAGTCCCATGGAGGTGGAGGTACAACAAGGAAGAAAAGGAGAAAGCTCTTGGGGAGAAATCAGAGAAGAACGAAAGGAACAGGAGACATCAGCCTCCACAGAGAGGCATTTTTATGGGGAAAAAAACATCCGATCAACAAGACATCTGTGAAATAAACTCATTAGAGAGGAAGACCTGAAGGCAGAGCTCATTTTGTAATTGCTCTCACAGGCACATCCTACCTGCCGCTCAACAAAATGAGCAGCCACGCCAGCAAAGTCTCCCTGTAGTCACCAGCAGGAAAGGGTGGTGTTGCTACTGCCTGGTTTTCCTGCTGCAGTTTGTTGGCTCCCACTCAAGCATAACCCTTTTAGATTTTTTTTCAACAAGACATGAGATACCAACAGCTTTACCAACAGCCACCTTTATTACAGCACTGCTGGGATCACATTGCTGCTGCCGCGTGCGTGTCTGGCCCCAAGGGCCAAGGGACGAGGAACAGGCTTTCCCCCACGCTCCTGCTGACTGGAGAGGGAAGCTCCCAGCAGCCGGGCTGCCTCTCCCCACCAGTTTGCAGCACAACGGTTGCCCACTACAGCTGTTTTCCTAATGGACTTTTTTATTAAGACAGACTTGTAAGGTGATATGCCAGGAAGCATCAGCTTCAGCAAGCATCAAGCTTTTATTTTTGCAGCCTCTAAGGCTTTAATGTACAGACCAAACTACAGTTCAAACTGCAATTGCTCTGCCCTTTCTCCATCCTTTTTAAAGGCAACATGTACTGTATTTATGAGTTTATGTGGCCTGTGGCTTCTTCAAGCAGGAGACTTGCAAAACCAGTTGCTGGCCAGGTCCCCATTGACAAGACATCAACCCAGGAGCCACTCAGCCTGGTTCTGTTCGAACCAACCTGGTCATTGCATGTAGAAGAGGGATTTAGGTATGTGGAGGGAACATCCTAGAAGGACTTTAGCTGTGGCCTCTTTATCAAAATTCAGGTCCCACCAAGCCTGGCCACACTGTCGTGACCAGAGAATTAGCAAAACAGCGTTACTTCAACGATAAATGATAGTGAAGGACTCCTGAGAGGTGGAAAGGATTTTAGGCAGGTTGTTATTTTGTTTGCTTTTTTGTATGTTCTTCTCCTTTTCCCTGAGCCCTTATCTAACCTCCACGGCTAAAGGAAAGTCCCCTTCAGTCAGGGCCCTGGGTAGACAAGAGGTGAGGAGCCTAAGGACAAGAGGGGGATAATGCGCCGGCCTCAGATTGCTCTTTCTTCATGCAGGCTGCCCAGGGGCTGCCTCGTTTGCTACCCTTTGCACCAGTCCACGCTGTTGCTTGCAAACAGGGGCATATGTTGTTTTTGTTGGGCAGTTACATAAACTGAGGGCCAGACAGATTAAGGATTTGCCTATTCCCGAATGCCTAACCGCAGGTGTCGGGGAATGATGGATGCAAGTGTTGCTGCAGAAACGAGAGCCTGGGCTCAGGGTGGCATCCAGAGGGGTATATGTGCGTAGGCTGTCCTATACGTGAGACTGTCCCAGGCAAGTTCAATGTTTAGCTATAGCTACCCAAAGCTCAGTCACATCTCTGGCCTTCAAAGCAGACCTCCCCCAGCAGCTGCGTACACTGTGTGCAGCGTAGGAATGAGCACGGTGATAACCAAATCCCCTCCTTCCCCTCCCTGCTTGTTCTCTAATCACTTGATAAAGGAAGTGTCTGTACCCAAGCTGTATCTAGCCTGTTTTCCTTATACACAAGTTTTTTTAGTGCCAAATCTGGGTCTGTGGCATTTCACAGTACACATCTAAGATGTCTATTTACAAGTGTATCTCTCTGCGTTGTGCAGTACATGGAAAACCAACATGTGAGGACCATCCAACTAGAAAACAATCCCCTGGCAACAGGAGCTCAGAGGAGCCCCTCGGCACCGCAGTCTTTGTGGCAATTCTCCCTCTTCCTCCTGCAATGGAAGTCACTAAAAATCCTCCATCTGAATCCCACCAAACCCTCGGGAGAGCTGCAGCTCAGAGCACAGGAGATCAGATCTCTTCTGTTGGTCAGATCTCCTCTGACCAACATAGCATGAAACATTCCCGCCTCTCCTTCCTTACTCCTTCCCCTTCCCCCGGAAGGATGTTCCTTGCTTTTTACACTGTGGCAGCAGACAGGGCAGCAGCTGGAAGATGCCTCCAACGCATTGACACAGAGGGGGCTCAAATGAGACATGTGTTTAAGAAAAAGGGGGAAATACAGCAGTAAGGTCAAAAATATTCATGAGATTAAGGAATAAACAAAATGCCACTCAGGAATGATCTCTTTTGCTCTTTTAAATACCGCGGTAATCCAGTATTTGAAAGGAAGAGTGAGAGACCAAACAAATGTTTGCAGAGTTTTTAGAAGCGTAAAGAGACAATGATTGCAATAATTGAGTATTTAACCTACGCCTTTCCGAACGCTCTGTCTAATCCACTACAGGGTAATGCAGAATAAGAGTATACTCACCATTTAAAATGATGGCAAACATTACCTTGATTATTCACGAGTGGCATTTCAGGTCTGGCAAGCGAACTTGAGGGATCTAAAAGCACACAGGAAGAGCAGAGACAGGTTTCATCCTCTGCCATTTCCCTGCATCATTTTCCCACAATAAGCTCTATGTTTAGAAAGGAAGATGAAGGGAAAAGCTCCTCTCCCGCTGGAGTTCCCAGCACCTTCCTGGCGATTATCTTTCTTCCACCACTGACCTTCTCAGGGAATCCTGCAGCTTTGTGCTACGCCTTTTCACGAGCTCGTCCACATCCTTCCCACCAGCTGTGCCAAGGGCAGGTTCCTATCATCTGAGGTGGGAAAAGATCACCAACAGTAAGAGACTGCCCATCTCCCCAGGCAATAGGTGCTGGTACAGAAGAGCATAACCAGCTTAACATCAAACACTCAAAACTAAAATTCCCAACAGAAATCATCTAGATATACATTGCTTACCTAGCTGGGCAGGGGCTGGGTCCTCCCTCCTGCTCGCGAGGCTGCCATTAGCCATATGAGTCGGGCTCCGAAAAGTTGGCATTTTTTTCTCACAAGCTATCATTTAATGGCAGGAAAATCCTCTGTATCAGAGGAGGATTAGCAGAGATGGAAGAATGTGTCTGTCCTCTAAAGCTCCCAAAGCAAAACAGGGATTGCAGACAAACCAAACTGATGCTTTCTCCCCTCTGCCAACCTGCTCTCCCCCCACCATTAAAAAAAAAAAAAAAATTACAGTCCAGAATTGGACCACTGCCATTCGAACAGCATTGCTGAAAGTCATTACTCCACTCCCCATTAGATAATGGCAGAGAAGGAGGGAGTGGAGGGTGCAGCCTAAATGGGATTATATCTGGGGGCAAGTGTAGGCTTGTGGGTTCCCTTTGTTGAGCTCTCCAAACAAACACAGCTGGGGACTCTCTTCCCCCATGCACACTTTCCCAGCCACAGTGTGGCTCACACACTGCTAACAGGGTGCCAGTGTGCTTTGCTTTGCTGGGAATTGCGCCTGAAGGGCAAGGAGATGCCAACAGCACTTGGGAGAAGGGTCAGCAAACACAGGAGCTTGCATGGTGCATATGGCCTTGCTAATAATGAACTCTGCCCTGCCTGTGAGTGTGTTTTGCTTGTGATTCTGCAGCTGGTGCGTGGAAATCATAAGGACAGGTTCCATACGTGGTGATGTTTTAGCATTCAGGATGTGAATTGGTTTTTAAAGCCTTTTCTGACAGAATGATGATGGTTTCCTTGGAGAACACGGGCTGAATAAGTGAGTTATCTCAGCCGCCCATGCCTTAGGTAATTGTGTTCACCATGTCAGAGGGAAAAATAGCTCTACTCTTTATTTCTGAGTGAATTATTCTGCTTTTTTTTCTTCAGGAAATGGAATACCTGATGAATTTACGCTTGATACAGCAGGAAAGATTCAGCTGGGAACCAGCCTGCTGCTGCTCGGCTCTTCCTGCAAATTAAAGCACCCAGCTACATCGGGTTTATTTCGTTTTGGCTTTCCTTCAGTCTTAAGGCATCTGGCTGGCACCTCAGGAAATTTGTGTCTGTCTCAACAGCGTGTATGCAGGCTGGTGCTGGAGGGCAGGCTGGAGGGAAGGGGGTGACCCATATAGCACTGATTTTACCTGAAGGATACCTTGCCCCACCACACTGTTGTACCAACCCCCCAGCTTTGCACTTCTATGCTTTGCACCACATTGCTTTGGACAGAGGAGGAAAGAAATTTGCAAAGCCACACGGCTTTGCACTTCTATGCTTTGCACCATGTTGCTTTGGACAGAGGAGGAAAGAAATTTGCAAAGCCACACACAGGCACATTGCAGCCTCCGTCACGGAGCTGAAGCTGCTGGAGACCTTGTGGGGACAGAAGTGGCACCGGCTGGGCGCTCGCCAGTGCTGGGGCAGCTGATGTTTCCCCAAAGGTCCCGGTTCTCATGGGAATACCAGGAAACCACAACCTGTCTGATGGCAGAAAGCAGATCACTGGCCTTTCGGACATGGAGAAAACTAGGGGGGGGAGAAGGGGGAAGCGCTATTCCCAGCTCCTTTTTCCCCAAGGTTTACCAGAGCCCTAAAGGTGGTACCAGAAATCTTGTCTCTCCCCAGGTGCACGCAGGCTGTAGACAAGGGGTGGAGGCAGTGCGCAAGGAGGGTACGTGGGACTCGGGGACAATTTGGCATGTGATCAGTCGGCAGCTCCCCAGGGACTAGACCTGCTGCTTGGTTTGCACAGCAATATTAAATCTGCTCATCAGAAATGAGGAGAGGCTGATCTGCATCAAGGCACCAGATATCTGCCGAGACTCTGGGGCTCTCTGGTGCCTTGCTGCTCTTCTTCCACGTGCACAGTAAGGGACCAGTGGGGATGGGACATATAGGACCACTGAGTCCCGGAAAGTGCCACCTCCCCCAGAGGGGCAGCTTGTGGGACCCTGCAAAACACATCCCCTAAGGAGGGCACTAGGAGCCTCTGCTAAGTACAACGGGTGGGTGGGGCCTGGTAGGTTGGGGACTGGGGGGGGCTTGTTAAACTGGGAGGTGTATGCACCTCACAGGGGTGGGGGGGACAGTGGCAGTAGGTACCTATTGCAAAATCAGCAGCTGCGATGTCGTTAGCGATGCTGAAGCCAGCTCCAGCAGAAGCTGGAGGAAGGCTGGCAGGGAACACCTCTCGGAGAGCTGCTGAGACAGGCAGCCTCGCTGTAGACCGGCACAGATATTATTAGCTCCTGCAGGACCTTCTGACAGCAGCTCTGCCGTCAGCATCCCACATACATAGCTCAGTGGCTGCAGGTGGCCTGGCGATAGAGCCCAGCCCAACTCCGGCCTTTTCTACTGCGGCTGGAGGTAGGAACGGCTGAAACAGCCCATGTCCTGCCCCATCACAAGCCCTCCTACCCACAGCCTCACCAGCCACCCTGTGCTGGCACACCTGGACCTCCTGCCTGGCCAGCAGCAGCAGCTCCACAGCTTACAGCAGCGTATTTCTGTGCATCAGCTATGGTCAGGAGCCTCGTACACCTCCAGACCACAGCACAGATAAGATACGAACATCTCAGCATATGCACAGGGGGAGGCTGGGTGGGCTGGGGTGGGAGACACACTGAGGTCACAGTTTCCAGGAAAGTCTCCCACTGCAGGCGGCCAGCCGGCCAGGGAGCATCGCCCTGCGAGTGGCTTCAGCAGAGCGCTGTAGAAGCACCAAGCTCGCCACCCAGCGCCTCCCGTGACCTTCTGCCAGCGCTTGCAAATCCTGATTCATTTCCTGATAACCCTTGCTCCTGAAAGGGCATGACAATGTGAGAAAGAGGCCTGGTAAGGAGAAGTTTCTAGTCGTCTTAGTTAGAAAAACTTAAATACCAGAGGGTACATAAAGGAGACTTGCATTTATTCTTAAAAGAAACACATTTGGGCTTTAAACCACACCTCAGCATTTTTCAGAGCATGACTCATGGCTGGTTAATGCTGAGCGTTGAGCACACTGCAACTGCTCAGTGCTGGGAAGCTGCTGCGGCTGCCAGGCTGAAGTAGACTTGGAAGCTACCGACCTTGCTACTGAGGCTCTGTGCTGTTAATTTTTTTGCCACCAAGGGCTCTTCCTCATGACCTGTCCTGTCCTTTTTAATTTCTGGGAACTCAGAGAAGCAAGAGGTCAAAAGAGCGGTGGAGCCGAGCCCAGAAAGCAGCAGAGCTATGCTGCCACTGAAAAAAAATAAATAGACATTTGTATCTCATCTTCCACCAAAAGAATTGGAGACTTCACCCTGATCGGAGGACCTCGCTCTGCTCCGGTGGTGTGTGCTGGGGACATAAGCCTTGGCACAGCTTCACAAGCTGGCAGTGAGGACAAGCCCGCCCTGGAGGGCAAGGCTGCACAGACTCAATGCAAGATTGCTTCTAACGACCCACTTCTTCATGGCCAGGGGCATTTCATGTGACAGTGGGTTAAGGATCTGAATGTAGCTCCCATCTCTGATACACATGGATACGATTTTAAATGATCACTGGGGACCACTTCTCATGGTGGTTCAGCTGCAGGTTAAAATATTCTCCTTACTTTCAAAGGCTGGCTAAAAACAGCTGGTGGGACTCATCTCACCTGACTGAAGGTGAGAGAGGTCTCGTCTCACCCACTTTAGCCACCTACCTGTGGGCGCCATCATGGGCCTCAGCAGGGCCCACTTTCACTGATGGAGGATGACAAGACAGCCGAGGGCATGCAGCTTTGGGGACACCTCCGTGCCATTAGACACCAGCGCTAGGTTAGCTGGATCCCAAGCATCGCACATCCAGATGCTTCCAGCCAAACACTGCCTTCCTTAGAGCAGTGAAGAGGCAGAGCTGCTTGCCTGACTCCGGTGGCTGAACATCTTCGCTCCCTTGTTTTTTACCTCTAAGAGCTGCTTGCATTCATGGGACTTGCACAGGGGGTTGAGGTCCTGGTGCTGCAGAGCACCCGAGCCCCTCCGCCCACCCCCGGCTTTGGTTTCCTGAGCTTCTGTAACAGCAGCCACAGCTTGGTGCATACTTCCCCTCTTCTCACAGCAGCAGCTGTGTTGTACATCTGAGCCTCTTCTGTGCACGTAATGGCTGGGGTGACCTTTGAAGCAGCAGCCTCAGCGTTTCTCGCCGGAGCTCCTGTTGTCAGCTCTGCCCCGTGGGACCCAGGCTGCATGTAGGGTGGTCACCCAGCCAGCCGCACCGCTGCGTGCACAGCTCCGGACAGCATAGGTTTGGGGCAGGGAGGAGGAGTCCTCTGTGGTGAGGACTGCTGTGCTGCGAGCAGACAGGACAGACCATCGCGGCTGTGCTGTGGTTTGAAACTTCAGCACAGCCAGCACCACCACCAGAAATAGTGCTCGGTGCAGCCACGATGTTGTTGCTTACAGGAGACGCAGAAGCAGCTGCGGAGCAACCAAGACTTCAAAAGCAAGGAGTTAAAAGCCTATCCCTCACTCAGAAGAGAGGATAGCTTTTCTTCTGTAGGTGGAG